GAGTTCCCGAGGGAGTTTAGGTATAACCAAAATTAACCTAGAGTCATAAAAGATAGAATAGAAGAGAAACAAGAAAATAAATTTATACAAAAAGGTTCAGAAAAAATATGATAGTAAAGACAGGAAGAGATTATATCCAACATACTTATAACTGAAATCCCTGAAGGCAAAAAGCAAATCAAAGGAACAGACAAAATATTTTAAGATTATCATTAAAACACAAAAATACTGTTGAAATAAAATCTCTGAATCTATATATTAAATGTACCCCCATTGTGTACCTGAAAAAAAACTGAGAAAGAATGGTCAATTCCAAAAAAATCTCAGTAAAACTATTATACTTTTTTAAAATAAAGAAAATGTTCTCTGAACCTCCAGAGAAAAATGACCAATTCCTTATATAACAAAGAAAACACAGAGCACACAACAGAAGAGCAAAGTTCTCAAAAATCTAAAGAAAAGGACAGAGTGTGAGCCAAGATTTTATAATTGGCAAGATTTTAAAAATAAAAAGTCAGGAAATATTGTACATATGAACTCTTCCTAAAATAGAGAATTTTACAGTGGTACGATAAAGTTTTGGAGAAATTTTGGTAGTGAACATACATAATTGAAGATCTGGTATTAAAATAAAGGTAGTATTAAGGTTCAAGGAAAATGTGCAAAACTTGTTTTGTGATGATGTAGAGATGACACAACTAAAAAATGCAAAGGGGGTGTGAAAGGTATACAGAGTAATTTGATTCATTAACATGTAGGTGAAAATTAAAATATTTAAAGCTCACATAATAAAAATGCAAATAAGAAAAAATGAGGACTAATTGCAGCAAAAATATTACGATAGTAATAAACTTAATGAAAGAAGTAAAGGATCTCTTCACAGAAATCTACAGGTCATTGAAAAAAGAAATAAAGGAAGATATAAAAAAGTGGAAGCATATACCTTGTTCATGGATTGGAAGAATTAACATCATTAAAATGTCCATACTACCTAAAACAATCTATAGATTCAATGCAATCCCCATCAAAATACCAATGACATACTTCACAGAACTAGAACAAACACTCCAAAAGTTTACATGGAACCAAAAAAGACCTTGAATAGCCACAGCAATCTTGAAAAGAAGAACAAAATAGGGGGGATCACATTGCCAGATTTCAGGTTATACTACAAGGCCACTGTAATCAAAACAGCCTGGTACTGGCACAAAAACAGGCAGATAGATCAATGGAACAGAACAGAGAACCCAGAAATTGACCCAAGACAATATGCTCAATTAATATTTGATGAAGGTGGCAAGAGCTTACAGTGAAGTCAAGACAGTCTCTTCAATAAATGGTGTTGGGCCCTGGCCGGTTTGGCTCAGCGGTTAGAGCGTCGGCCTGTGGTCCGGAGAGACCCGGGTTCGGTTCCCGCTAAGGGCGCGTGCTTCGGTTGCAGTTTGTCCCCGGCCCTGGTTGGTCGTGCGGGTGGCAGCCACTCGATGTGTCCCTTCACGTCGATGTTTCTCTCTCTCTCCCCCTTCCTCTCTCTCCCTCCCACTCTATCTGTACAAAAAATGGAAAAATATCCTCGGGTGAGGATTAAAAAAAATAAAATAAAATAAAAAAATAAATGGTGTTGGGAAAATTGAACAGCTACTTGAGAAAAATGAAGCTAGAACACCAACTTATACCATACACGAGAATAAACTCAAAATGGATAAAAGACTTAAATGTAACTCTTGAATCCATAAAAATTCGAGGAGAAAATGTAGGCAACAAAATCTCAGACACCATACGCAGCAGAATTTTCACCGATATAACACCTAAGGCAAGAGAAACAAAGGAAGAAATGAACACACGGGACTACATCAAACTAAAAAGCTTCTGTATGGCAAAAGAAACAACCATCAAAACGGAAAGGTATCCCACTGTATGGGAGACCATAATCGCCAATGATGCATCAGATAAAGGGTTAATTTCCAAAACATATAGAATGCTCATACAACTCAACAAAAGGAAGACAAAGAACCCAATTTAAAAATGGGCAGAAGACCTAAATAGACACCTCTCCAAAGAGGACATACAAATGGCCAAGAGACATATGAAAAAAAGCTCAACATCACTAATCATCAGAGAGGTGCAAATTAAAACAACAATGAGGTGTCATCTCACACCTGTCAGAATGGCCACCATCAACAAAACATCAACAAATCATCAAACAAGTGTTGGCGAAGGTGTGGAGAAAAGGGGACTCTAGTGCACTGCTGGTGGGAATGCAGCCTGGTGCAGCCACTATGGAAAACACTATGGCGTTACCTCAAAAAAATAAAAATTGAACTGCAATTTGACCTAGTGATCCCACTTCTAGGAATATACCCTAAGAAACCTGAAACACCAATGAGAAAGAATATATGTACCCCCATGTTTGTAGCAGCACTATTTACCATAGCTAAGATCTGGAAGCAGCTTAAGTGTCCATCAGTAGGCAGATGGATTAAAAAGCTGTGGTACATGTACACAATGCAATACTATGCAGCTGTATGAAAGTAAGATCTCTTATCCTTTGAGATGGCATGGAAGGACCTAGAGAGTATTATGCTAAGTGAAACAAGCCAAGCAGAGAAAGACAAATATCACATGATCTTACTTATTTATGGAATATAATGAACCAAACAAACTGGTGAACAAAGTTAACCCAGAGACATAGAGGTGGGGTACAGACTGACAAGCCTCAGAGGAGGCAGGGTTTGTGGGGAAAGAGATAAACCACCGAACTTATATGCATGTATACATGATCAATGAACATAGATAACAAAGCTGGGGATGGGGTGGGGGGAAGAAAAGAAGGGTGTCAATGGGGGAAAAATGAGAAACATCTGTAACAAAAACAAATAAAAAATTTTAAAAAAGAAAAAAATGAGGAATAAACGTGATTATAGAAAGGTACCAGTATAAACATAACGTGGAAACAAAAAAATGAACACAAAATATACCATAAAAGAGCATGACAGAACTGTAGGATATTTTTATATTAAGGATATTAATTTTTATGAATATTGCAAATATTGTCTTCCAATTTATCATTTTATTTTATTTTGATTATTTTTCATTGATTTTTTAAATTTGCAATAATCCTCCCTATTTCTCATTTTATAACTTCTAAATTTTGCATCTTTCAGAAAGACCTCCTTCATTCTGGAGAAAATATTCTCCAATATTTTCTTCTAGTAGTTTTATAGTTTCATGATTGTCCATTTATTTTTATAGACATAGTAATAGACAAAAGCTTTTTTTTCAAACTTTTTTCCTTATTACCATTATCACTTTGTGAAAATACCTTTTCTCTACTGACATGTGATGCAACTCTTATTTTATAACAAACTCCTGTATGTTTGGGGAATTATTTGTTAGATCTCCAACTGCTCAATTTATCTCTCTTGAAATTTATGCAACATTAACACACTTTAATATGATACAGTGTCTGGTAAGGCAAGTCTCCTGTCATTAATTTTTATTTAAAACATCTTATTCACTGTTCTTGTGTGTTTAAATTTCCATGTGAACTGTAGAACTACATTGACTGGTTCTAATAGTGAATTTTCATGAATGATCAGTTTTTCTTTGAAATAAGTAATTTAATAAATTACATTTGCAAAAATAAAAGACAAAATTTTGATATTTTTTAACGATGATATCCAGTGGGACACCTGCTATCAAATTCCCTATTAATGTTTCCATGTGCTCCTCTTCTTTTAGGTGTAGTTTCATAGAAAAGTAGAAAGAGATCAGGCTTTGGGGTGAGAGATTAGATTTGTACACTGCCTCAACTGCTTATAATTTGGTAACCTTGAGCTCATTATTTAAGTTGGTTGAATAGTCAGTTTCTTCATTTGGAAAATGAGGATAAAAAATGCCTGCCTTGTAAAATTCCTGAAATATTAGATAAATTGTACTTTGAATAACTATGAAATATGGCAGATAGTTGGTGGGAACTCTCTGGAAAATAATTCCAAATAGATGTTGAAAACATCCTCGTGTATAGTTCCCACGTAGATTTTTCTCCTAACTCCAGAATTGCCCGAACTTGACTCTTTTTTTTTTTGTACTTGCCCCTAGCGGGAACTTAACCCCGGTCTCTCTGGTCCGCAGGCCCATCCTCCAACCGCTGAGGCAAACCGACCAGGGCAGAACTTGACCCTTTTTATTTGTCTGATAAATTTCTATTCAACCATATCTATCACCTTCTTTAGGAATAATTGTTCTCATTTCCCTTTGTTTAGCAGTTTCTTTCCTTTATCACCGTGTCCAAAAGTTTATAAATTGTGACTATCTGATTATTTGTTTGCCTCAATCCTGTTATATTACCTCCCTCATAATTCATTCTCATATGTAGTTGTGGGTCAAAGGTACATGCATATTTTACGGGAAGGAGGAGAACACACAGAACTTATTTATTTATTTATTTATTTATTTATTTATTTATTTATTTATTTATATTGTTCTTTGTTTTACCAAAAAAAAAAAAAAAATGGTGGTAAAGAGGAGGACAGCATTAGTCTATAGAAATGGTTTTTGTCGTTATCTTTTAAAACTGCCTGGCCTGGTCCAACACACCAATAGGAAGTGCAAGTACCGGAACAGGAAGTGCTGACCGCTGAAAGGCTCATCACCGAGGAGGAGGAAGTTACGCATGCGCACAGAAAGCTGTGTGACCTCGAGTACCCCACGTGGACTTCCGGTTGAGCTAAGGGCAACGGACGCAAGGCGAGGCCCAGCGCGCAGACCGGAGCCCTCACAGATAAAGGTATTTTCGGAAAGTTACAAGAATTTTGTTTAGCACTCCCTCAGGGACAGGTTTCTTGGTGTTCATATTGAAGTTAGACTGGTAGCCCACTGGGTAGTTGCGGTGTTTTGCATAACTATACATCAATAGTAAAGACACGATTGATTATTCTCCCTGCTTCATTAATGCACTTACACTTTCTCGTCTTTTAGGGCCCCCATTGTATAGCACAATGGATAAAGCTTTAGAACGAGCTTTGGACCATGCGGAGGGTGTCATTGAAAGTGCCCAACAGAGACCTCCTAAAAGGAAGCACTCCTCTAGTGGGGGACAATCTCTCCACGAGAAACTGTATGACATATACGTGGAAGAGTGTGGGAAAGAGTCCGAGGTTACAGAGGAATTGACAAGCAATGTGAACTTGTTAGAGAAGCTTGTTAGCAGGGAGCCCTTGCCCTGTTTGGTGGTCAACCTATACCCAGGCCAGAAGGGCTACTCGCTGATGATCAAGGGACTAGATGAAGAATATTCAGAGACTATTCGGCTGCCTTATGAAGAAAAGGAATTTCTTGAATACTTGGATGCAGAAGAATTGCCTCCTATTTTGATGGATCTCCTGGAACAGTCTCAGGTTAACCTTTTTCACCGTGGGTGTGTCATAGCAGAGATACGGGACTATAGGCAGTGCAGTCATGGGGAACCCCCTGGTTACCAAAGCAGGCATATCCTCCTACGCCCAACCATGCAGACGTTAGCCTGCGATGTACATTCCATAACCAGCGATCACCAGGAATGGACCCAGGAAGACAAACTTTTACTTGAGAGCCAGCTGATCTTAGCCACAGCTGAACCCCTGTGCCTTGATCCTTCTGTATCTGTAGCCTGCATTGAAAACAGGCTGCTCTATCACAAGCAAAAGATGAACACTGTGGCAATGCGGAGGAACTTCCAGAGGTATTCTACCGCCTCCCTGAACCGGCGGCAGCGGGAGCTGCCTTGTGGGCCACCCTCTCCTGAGCTAAGGGCACGGGCTCCTGACCCAAAACGCAAAGAAAGTCAAGCAGGTCAGCAGTCTGACCTCACAATTTCCAAGCCAGGAGATTGTGTAGATATGTGGAAAGAGCGACCCTGTGTCTTGGAGGTCCCTTCTGCATTGGATGTGGAGAAATGGGCTGAAGAGGAGAGGCCTGTCAAACATGACTCACAACCAACAGTCTGGCCAGCCCAGGAGGTAAAAGAGGGTTCTCTGTTTGGATGTCAAGCTGGCGATCAGTCCCAGACAACAAAGCCGTCTCCCATGCAGTCTCTTAATGATCCATTTATTTCTGGAAAAAGGTCACGTAAAAAAGTCAGATGTGGGAGAGAGATGTCTCACCACCGTTCCTCCACAGATGAGCATTACAGTAGTTTCATGCCTGGGTCCAAGACTGATGCTGGGAAAGCAGCCAGTCAGTCCGAGGAATTGGTGCAAAAGAATGCCAAAAGTCCAGTCACAGTGTCCCTGGGCTGCAGTGGCTCAGCCAGTCTCAGCCAACTTTCTTCAGGGGAAGAAGCAGAACAGCCTCTGGCCCTGTCGGTTCCATCTTCAGTGCTGGGGAAGGGAGTCCAGCAGCCACCGCCACCCATCAGTCTTTCCTCCAGCTCAGGAAACAGTTCCTCAGGCAACAGTTTTACTGCACAGACGGCAAGCAGCTTTCGTGAGTCTCCATTTCCTACCCCTGCTTCAAAGCCACCAAGTTTTCCCCAGAAAGCGTCTGTGGAAGTGAACCAAGTTAGCACACTTCCTGAAGCTACCCAGCCCACTGCCAGCTCATCACAAACAACCCCAGCCAGCCATGTCAAGGCCAACTCTGCTGGCCCCAATGTCATCAAAGTGGTGCGTCCTGTTCATGCAGCCCAGACTGGGGTGAGAGGTTCCAATCCTGTGAAGGGCTCTACTGCTAAGGCCAAGGCTCCAGTGGCAATCAAACCCAGAATCATATACTCAGGAGGCCAGCAGATACCAAATACATGGTCCACTGTACCAAAGGCTCCTTCACAAGGTGTTCATCTTATTTTAAAAAATGCTTCAGATCCCACACACATAACTCTACTCCAGCTTCCACCAGGTTCACTCATTTTGAACACCCAGCAGCAGCTGCAGCAGCAGCCCCAGCAGCCACAGCAACAGCTGCAGCAGCAGCCCCAGCAGCAGCAGCCCCAGCAGCAGCAGCCCCAGCAGCAGCAGCCCCAGCAGTTCTATCGGTTGATTCCACCACCACAACTTCAGCAACCTGTATCTCATATTCAACAGCCAGTGTCAAAGGGTTCAAGTGCAAAAGGTTCAACCCGTCAAAGAATTATCTTACCTGCTCCACAACCTGCTGTCATTAACTCTAATGAAATAGGAAGTGTTCTGCAGCCCCAGAGGGTGGTGATGTCTCAGCCTAGCTCTACCCAGACAAGACCTGGGCAAAGCCCTCCCCAGCAGAGTATACAGCTCCCCTCCGCCTTCCAGCAGCTGCAACAGCCCCAGCAGGTACAGGTGAGAATCTTGCAGCTCCCAGTGACTGTGCCAACCATAGAAACCCAAACAGCTCAGCCACATCGTGCCCAGCAGACAGCAAGCGGGTCAAAAGGTAAAACAAATAGAGGCCCACCCACGACTCCCAAATCCTGAGTCTTGAATTACATTTTCCTTTAAAAAAATCATAAGAGCATTGAATCAAAGGATTCCTTAGTTTTTACTGCATTTTTGTCTTTAATGTTTCAGTATTTTACATTTCTAAGTGTACAAACTGTAGAGAAGCACAACCCTGTGCTTTTTAAATTAAAATAGGGTAATAATTAAATGGGGGGAAAGAAATGGACTATGAATGAAATGAAAATCCCAGCTCTACAATTTACTAACCTTAAGCCTATTTTGTAATGTCTCTGAATTTCCTTGTCTGTAAAATGTGAATAGAAATAGGTGCTTCTTAAGTTTATCGTCAAGGTTAATATAAATAAAATATATTAGACAATGAAATTTAAATTACATTTAAATTAATTTTAAATATTAAAATAGAAAATATTAGAAGGAAATAAAAATAAGTATTTAAGCTGAAAGTAAACAACACTGGTGTAAATAATAGTTTTGTTACATTATATAAAAGTCAACCTTAGAATCAATGGCAAATATGCCATGGATATTTAGTTCTTAAAAAAAATAGACTTAAAAATAATAAGTAAGGACATTATATGTAGATATAGAGATATATAGACAGATTTTAATTCTCTATTAATAAAAAGTAGCCCTTTTACTCTAATTCCATCCCCACCACCAACATGGTGAATTTTCTGTCTAATAAAACTGGATGCATTAGGCACTTGTAATTCATTCTTCAGTAATTGAGGGATGATTTGAATATATGATTCAATATCATTTGCCAGACAATATTCTTCAAATGCATTATTCATGTTGTGTTTATTATTTTGCAAATACTTCATAATATACAAATGCACCTGCTGTCTGCCATTCATCTTGCTCTTCTATTCTATCTAAATTATTTTGTATACTTCAGACAGGATAATAATCACAAGAGAGAAAAGGTAAAAGTTTTTATTTATAATGGACAAGTGAATGAAAAATTATAAGTATGCATGAACTGATGAAACAAATTACAATAGGGAATTATAGGGGCAAGAATGAAAAAATATATCTGATAATTAAAAATGATTTCTGTAGCTTCTAAACAATATATTTTAGGATAATATCGTAAAGCAAGAAATTAAATGTCTAGATCAAACCTCCCTCTCTCAAAAATCTTGAGTAAATTTAAACATGGATAATACTTTAAAATATTTTATATGCAAATGTAAAGATTTATATTACTCAAAAATGTAATCTTCCTGGTTTTCTGGAATTGAGGAATGCTTGAAAAGAATGAGCTATTGAAAAAATGTAAAAATATTTTTTGTTAAATAGTTATCTTTGTTACTTTATTTGATTGTAATTGTATTTGCTATTTGAGCTACCCCTGTGGATGATCAGTAAACATCTTTCACTTAACATGTCCAAATATGATGATATTCATCATCTCCTCAAGCCTATCAGAACCTGTACTGTTTGGTTTCAGAATAATTCACAAAGTAATATAATTAATTATCAAGTAACTTGAAATAATTTTTAAAGACATAAAATCTATCAGCACACCCTTAACATTCCTAAGTACTTCTACTCCAGCTTGTGGACTTTGAGGGATTCTTAGAAAAATTCTCATACTTCCTTTTTTTTCTTTGATAAGATATTTTATTCTTAACAGCCTGTCCCATTCACATTTAGAATAAGAAAGAAAACATAGTGAAATAAAATTCTGAGTGAAGTATCTTACACCAAGATTCAAGTTTAACAATACTATTTCCCCATCCCTACAACACTCACAATACCTTGAGTATTCCTGTTTAGCACACAGAACAGACTAGAAATAATACCAGGCATGCCAATTACTCATTTGAAAGTTTAAAATTTCTTTTTCCCTATTTTTATAAGCACCTTTCCCTTATTTTTATTATTAAATTATAGATGACATACAATAGTATATTAATTCCAGGTGTACAGCATAATGACTTGGCATTTATATTCCTTATGATGTGATCACTACAATAAGTCTGATAATCATAAGTTATTATGATAATATTGAATATTTTCCCTATGCTGTACTTTACATCCCTGTGATTTTTTTTTTAATAAGTGGAGGGTTGTGCCTTTTTTTCTTCTTCACCCTTTCACTCATCCCTGCACCCCCTTCCCCTCCAGCAAGCATCCATTTGTTCTCTGTATCTGAGTCTGTTTCTGTTTTATTTGTTCATTTGTTTTGCTTTCTTAACAGCTGAACCACCATCCTATTTAAGGTAATAAATGATATACAAAAGTTGGAGGTAGAATGAGTCCTGACCTTAGCAAATAGATTTACAATACAATGTTTTCATCTGTGACATTTCTGACCAAGCCACACTCCTTTGCTTAATTTTGTTCCCTGCATCTGCAAACTCTGTGGAATCAAATTCAAACTATTTTGTTTGGCAAAAAGGTCTTTTTTACCTGGATTTGGGCTGTCACTTCTCCCCAATCCCTAGCACTTTCTCATTCACATCTATGGCTTTGGTGCACTTAACTACTGTTGACTCTGACATATCAAGTTCTTCCTAGATTTCATGGTTGGTGAAGACCCCCAACCAGGAACTCCTTTTCATTCTCTGCTCATCACTTAATACTAAGTCTAAGCATCACCCTTCTGGAGTCTGAGTCTATTTCCATATTATCCTTTATGACAGAACATTTCAAACTATTTCACAGGGTTATTTGTGAATAAAATATGATAGTAAATATAAAGAAAAAATAAAAATTGAAGGTGTATATTAATATAAGTAAACTTTTCAAAGTTTTTATTTATTTTTCAAACATAGATTGTATAACTTTGCATGCTCTTAGAGGGATTAGTACTTTTGCTGTAATGATTAAAATTTTACTATATATAAATATATGTAATGTATATTTATGTTCTCTAATATTTTGTGTTGCATGTCACAACTGTCTTTTGAAAACATCAAAAGAGTACTAAATGGGAATTATTATTGTAAAAAATGGGATATATAAAATAATAGAACTTTTACCAGTATTCGAATATAATTTTCCTATAGGCACATACATAATTAAATAATTATTGTATTATAAGTTATTTTAATTTAAATAGTTAAAGTGATACCTATATGTAAGAAACAAGAAAATTAAATATGGCTTTTTTGTCTTTGTGGCTTTTAACCAAGAAATTCTTCTTGAAATTATGATTCAGGTATAGGTCACTCTGATGAACTATAACAGAAAAGAGTTCTCTTGCAAAATTCCAAGACCACACTGAAGAACAAGAAGTCATATCACTAAGATACTTCTTTATATTTCAAGTCATCCTATTTCTTGTACATTTGTATTTCTTAGAAGTTTTGAATTTGGGGCATATATTAAATCTATGCAAATAAAACAACATTCTCCTGTCTGTTTACCTGTTATTACACCATGTGATAATAGTCTGATGGAGCCTTATTTTCTTTTTTTGAGTTTTTTCTCTTTATTTTTGTTTTCTTTTTTGCTCAATTTCCCCACTCCCCCTACCCATCCACCCAGCCTCCTACCCCCGACAGTTGTCAGCCTGCTTTCTATCCATGAGTCTGTCTCTATTTTGTCAGATTGGGGTGCTATGTTTAGGATGACAGGACTTAAAAACAGATGTGGTGGGAAAATGGGGAGATTTTTGTTCAATGAGTAGAGTTTTAGTTTTGCAAGATGAAAAAGTTCTAGTGATTTATTGAACAACTAGGAAAAGTTCTAGTAACATTACTGAACTGTATAAATAAAAATGGTTTAGGTGATAAACTATGTTTTGTGTTAACAATGAACATTTAAAGCAACAACAATAAAACAGATGTAGAATACAAAATATTTCAGTTTCAGGGGCCTTAGGGGAACCTTAGTCACTTACGTGCTTTATTATTTATTTATTTATTTATTTATTTATTTATTTATTTATTTATTTTTATCCTCACCCAAATATGAGGACATATTTGCATTTATTTTCAGATAGACCGAGAGTGAGAGAGGGAGAAAGAGAGAGAGAAACATCGATGTGAGGGAGACACATCCACTGGTTGCCACCCACATGACCCCAACCGGGACCAGGGAAAAACTGCAGCCGGGGTACATACCCTTACCGGGAACCAAACCTGGACCTCTCTGGTCCATGGGCCTACACTCTAACCGCTGAGCCAAACCAGTCAGGGCCACTTATATGCTTTATAACAGGGTGGTTCTGGACACAACCCTCTGGAGCCAGACTGTTTAATTTTATTTGTTTTTGTTTTTTGTTTTTTTTATCCTCACCTGAGGACATTTTTCCAATTTTTGTACAGATAGAGTGGGAGGGAGAGAGAGGTGGGGAGAGAGGGAGAGAGAGAGAGAAACATCGACGTGAAAGGGACACATCGAGTGGCTGCCACCCGCACGACCAACCAGGGCCGGGGACAAACTGCAACCGAGGTACGTGCCCTTAGCGGGAACCGAACCCGGGTCTCTCCGGACCGCAGGCCAACGCTCTAACCGCTGAGCCAAACCGGCCAGGGCCAGACTGTTTAATTTTAAAACCTGGCTCTGTACAGAGTTGTGGAACCATGGGTAAGTCA